TAACGCAGCGGGAACAGCACACCAGGCTGGGGAATAACGCACTGGGCTGGGGAATAACGCACCGGGAACACCGCACCGGGCTGGGAAATAACGCACTGGGCTGCGGAATGCCCCATCGGGAGGGGGAATACCGCACCGAGGTGGGGAAATAACCCTTTTGGACGGGAAATGACATACACGGGCTGGGAAATAACCCACGGGGGAGGGGAATAACCCACAGAGGACGGGGAATAACGCGTGAAGACGGGGAATACCCATCGGGGTGGGGAATACCCATTGGGAGGGGGAATAACGGCCCGGAAATAACCCATGAGGACAGGGAATATCCATCGGCATGGGTAATACCCATTGGGGTGGAGAATAACCCACCGGGAAGGGGAATAACCCACTGGGACCGGGAATAATGCACCGGGGTGAGGGAATGGGGCACCGGGATAGGAAATAACCCATTGGGAACAAAGCACTGGGATGGGGAACACCCATGGGGAAGGAGAATAGGGCACCACGATGGGGGATGATGGACCAGGATGGAGAACAGGGCACCAGGATAGGAAATAGCAGATCTGGATTGGGAATATCCCATTGGGATGGTGATGGGCAATGGCACACTGGCATAGGGAAAAGGGCACTGGGACACAGAGCAATGCATCAGGATGGGAGTCAGAGATGGGGACAGGGGACAGGGCAGTGGGAGCAGCCCTGGGATGAGGAACAGGGCAGGAGGTGGCAGGTGGCAGCAACTCTCTGGCCACAAAGAGGAACACACAACTTTCCCAGGCCTTTCTGGGGAAGGCTGTGAAGAGATCAGAGAAGAGTGAGAAACAATTCTTGTCTTCTCTTACTGCACCTGGTATTGTGAACATGTGAGATTTGTTTACCAAAGGGTGGTTTCCTAATTAGCCAATGGTGATGGTGTTTCGACTGGAGGACCAATTAGGTCAACCTGTATCGTAAATATAGGATATTTGTATATTCTATTTGTATATTATCTGTCTATAAAAGCAATGGGTTTCTTAATAATGATATAATATAATAAAGAGATTGATCAGTATTGATCAGATTGATCATGGAGTCAATGCTAATTATTACCCAGCTGGGCCTGCTGCAGTGACTGTGGCACAAGAATCTCCTCTGTGGGCACTGCACAGCCCCAGTGCTTCAGAGAGGCTTCCCCACCCCAAATTCCAGTTTACCCCCACTCTCCACCTGACCCAGCCATCTCCTCCACAGCTCTGGGCTTTGGACATGAGGCAGAAAACAGAGAAATAGCAAAACAGGATTTATTAAAGGTGTAGGGGAAAAAACAACAACACAAGCTCCTGCTTTAAGTATATAAAAAGTGAAACAATATACAGTACATTTAGTGGTGGCTGTGATACATTTAAACAGGATGTTCAGAGTCCACCCTACCTCCTCCTAGAATTTAAAACAAGGAAAAGAAAGGATGGAAATATCCTTTTGCCACCTCACACAACTGCAACTAGAGGTGTCTACAGACACAGCATCTCCAAAGCGTGTCTGGTTTTAGTTTTTAACACATGCAGCACTAAGGTAAGTCAGGATTCATTCACTGAAAGTCTTGCTGGATATTCTCCTTGTTTGCCTCTCCATGCTGCTGCTTGATTTGTGAAATTTCATTTTCCAGCTGCACAATGGTTCGTTCAATCTCATAATTTTTACTGACAAGAGAGACCCACCTGGAAGGGACAAGAAATAAAAAGAGCCTTTAGGTGTTATGTAACACTCCTCTGGAAAAAAATCAAAGAGAACCATTGCTCCAAAGCAAGCAGAAACACCAAATAAAGCAGTATTCTTCCTAACACATGACAATCCTTAGCTGACATCAATGGTCATTGGAACAACCAAAGTGACAATGAGTAATTATTAACCCTGTTAAACCTGAAAACACAAAAATATTCATGACTAGACTCATCCACCAACTGCCAATATTGAGATAAAGAAGCGTTTAAGACAATTTAGGAAATTTGAAGCAGCTAATAAATATACCCTCTTCCCACCTGTTGATTCACTCAACCTCAGTAATTATAATATTGAACCAAACTACAAATACTTTAAAACACCTCCTGCAAAGCAGCAGTATCCTACAGCAGCTCCAAAGCATCACTGAATTTCAAGTGGAAGAATAATTTCAAGTGAATTCAAGCAATGGAGAAAACTGTGGAAGGGCTAACAGAGAAATGTCAACACTCACGTGGATTCCATCTCTCTCAGCTTAGCCCCAGCTGTGAGCTGCATGTTCTTCCTCTGCCAGTTCAGGTCTTGAATGTTTTTCCTGGGGAAAAAAAAGATGTATTTTTATTTCCTCATTTCTTTGGCATCTGCAGTACCTGTTGCTAATTTCCAAGTACATTCAATCCCTAGAAGTACTGCCAAAAAATATTTCTGTAGCCAACACTGTAATGACAACATCCAGATGGACAAATCTCAGTACAGGGCTCACAGAGAACCCTGAGATAAATAAAAAGAAAAGGTTAAACCAAACATCAGGGAAGATGTTCTTACAGAGACAACTGCACATTAAATTATCAGTAGTAAAATGAAATTTTACTGTTGGTAATTTCAGGGAGGATTCCACAAATGTAGAGCAGATTCAAACAAATCAAACACAGAATTTTGAGTAGAATGGACATGATGAATCTAACTGTTTGGGGAGAGCAGGGTCACATGTCTTAATTATTGTTTTTACTGAGTCTTTTTCCCTGTGACCATGTGAGCCAGCACATACACCTTCCTCTGTATAGCATGGGGGGGAGAGAAATGTTCACTTCCAATTTCAGTACAAAAATCTAAATAAGAATCACCCACCTCAATTTCTGAAGCTCTTTCTGGGCTTGTTCTATCATATGAACCAGGTGCCTGATGACAGAATGCAAGCAAAGCATTAAAAACACACAAATGGTAAACCAGCCCCATTTCACCTGACATTTAACTTCTCAGAGTTCAGGATTCAACAAGTCCCTGCAGCACCTTGGCCCAGCCAGCAGATCCTTTACCTGCTTTCTTTCTCCTGACCTCAGGAACCCTCTGCCTTCTCTCAGTTTGGAATTCTTTTCGCCTACTCTTTTATCTAATGCTCAGCCAACCCTTCTCAAAAGTGAGCATTAAAATTCTCTGTCTGGAATAGCCCCAGTGCTTCCTGCAGCCACACTCTACAACCTGTTCTTGGCTTTTGCAGCAGCTCTTTTACAGCTCCAGGCTAAGCCCAGGATCTGTAGTAACTCATCTTCATTTCCACTACTGAGTTACTCCTTCACAGGCTATCACCAGCCTTAATTAACACCCACTATCATCAACAATAACCCACAACATTCAAGACAGGTATGTATTAAAACACACACTGCTTCTTGGCCACAGAAACAGCTTTGAGATCAGCCTCTTCTTTCTCTTACAGGGGTTCATCTATTCCAGGCTACATTCTAAAGACCCCCTCTGGATTTACACCCAATAAATACACAGAAATTAAAGACAGAACTTGATGTCCAGCAGAGCAGCTGAGGCCTTACTCGTTGTACACCTTCCAGGCATTGCAGCCGTGCTGGGACATGAGCTCCAGGTTCTCGATGCGCACGGCCTGGTGCTCCAGCTGTGCCATGGAATTGTTCACGCACTCCTGCCACGCCGTGATGTCGTTCTTCTGCCCCGAGGAGGGGGCGGGCAGCTCGTACCTGCAAAGGGCACGGGCTCACCTGGGGCACCGGGCATGGTTCACTCTGGGACACCGGGCACGGCTCATCCGGGGCACCGGGCACTGCCCTGCCGGTCCCACTCACCTCTTCATACTGAGCAGCTCCAGGGGCTGCCGGGCCGCCAGGCGCTCGAACTCGTTCCGCATGATCTCGGTCTGTGGGGAAGGCAGCGGTGAGGGACACGGGGGACGGGGAACGACACAAGCGGGGTATGGTGGGGAGGACGGGGACAGGACACAAACGGTAACGGGGGAGAGACACAGGAGGGGTACGGCAGTTGGCACAGGGGAAGGACGGGGACAGGCAGGGTCAGTCCCAGCCAGGTTACGGAGTGGGGACAAGCGCGCTCTGCGGGTACGGGGAGCTCTGGAGCCGCCTCAGCTCACCTCGAAGGCGCTGTAGTCGTGCGCGGGCAGGTAGCTCAGGTAGTTCTTGGTCGGCCGGTACCGCCGCGTCTCCTCCTCCACCAGCGCCGCGGCCTAACGCACACGGGCCGTCAGGCAAGCGGGCAACCCGCCCGCCGCCCCGGCCCCTCCCCGCCGCCGCCCCGGCCCCGCACGCACCGCCTCCCGCACGCCCGGCGCCTCGTAGCCCTGGTCGAAGTAGGGCAGCGCGTCCACCACGACATCGCCGGCCACCAGCCCCGGGCCCGACATCTTGGCTGCGGGCACTGCGCGTGCGCACTCGCGTCACGCCCGGTAAAACGGCACACGGCTCGGGCCCAAGCCCCGCCCCCAACGATCAAACCCCGCCCCTTCCCGGCCCGCCCCTCAGCCCAGGCCCCGCCCCTCCCGGTGACTCCAGCTCCGGTCCCGCCGCTCCCGGAGCGTTTCCAGCCCTGCCCCGCCCCTACCGGTGTAATTCCGACACTGGCCCTGCCCCTCCCTGCCCGGTCCCGCCCCTCCCCGCCAGGCCACGCCCCCTTAAGGAACTGAGACACATTAAGAGTTGGATCGATGAGCTGTTATTGATCCATGGAACTGGTTATCGGCCTATGGAACTGGTTATCGATCCATGAGCTGTTATCAGTCCATGAAACTCATTATTGATCCATGAGCTGTTATCAATCCATGGAATTGGTAATGGATCCATGGGCTGTTATCAATCCATGGAACCCAATATTGATCCATGGGCTGTTATCGATCCATGGAATCCGTTATTGGTCCATCAACTGGTATCAATCCATGGAACTCTTTATTGATCCACGAGCTGTTATCAGTCCAGGGAACTGGTTATTGATCCACGAGCTGTTATCAATCCATGGAACTCATTATGGATCCATGAGTTGTTATCAATCCATGGGCTGTTATCAATCCCCGTGCCGGTTGTTCCCGCAGCACACTCGGAGCCCCTGGCCCAGCCTGGCCCTCCCGGGGCCCAGCTCAGTCTGTCCCAGGCAGGGTCTGTGGTTCCTCCTCCGCTGCTGTCCCGCAGCAGCGCCCGGTCACTTCTTCTGGAGGAATTTCATTTTACTGCCTGCAGAGAAAAAACAGCATTAGGGGCTTTAGGTGAGGGTAGGGATGCCCTGGCACAGGTGGCCAGAGCAGCTGTGGCTGCCCCTGGATCCCTGGCAGTGCCCAAGGCCAGGCTGGGCAGGGCTTGGAGCAGCCTGGGACAGTGGGAGGTGTCCCTGCCATGGCAGAACTGCTCCCTTCCCACCCAAATCATTGTGGGATTCTGTGAGCTGGAGCCACTCCAGGACTCATCAGGCTGAGAAGCTTGAGGTGGAAAGCCACATATGGGCACCTCTGCCAGCAGTCACAACTTCTGTCCCCTGGGCACATCCTCTGCCAGGACCAAAGTTAAGGAACAAGCCCTCAGAGCAGCAACTCCCACAAATTTTATCTAAAGATACAAAAGCTTAAAGAGAAAAGAAAAATCTTACACAGTGTTCAGTGCCCCCTGAAGCAGTAAATGTAAATAAGGGAACCCAGGTGCAGAAGGAGAAGAAGAAGCCTTCCTCTCCTTTGTAACAAATTAATTATTCAATAGCTACAATTACTAAAAAAAAAAAATTAACAATGAACAAAAGGGGTGCTCCTTTACCAAGACTGCGAAGGATTTTGTTCATTCCAGTTCGTTCCGTCTCTGGAATACGCTCCAAATACTCCAAAGCACGGACCTCAAAAAGGCCTAAAGAGAAAAAAAAATTAAAAATTAAAAATCACTCCCCAAATGGGTTACTCCATCTTTTAGCATATGGCATCATGATTAACAAGGCCACAAAAGGAAATCCTCTATGTAGTGTGTGTAAGGTGCAGGATGAAGGAGAAAGGAGAGAGAAACACAAATTCTTTGCTTTATAAACTGAATTATTTTGATTAATTACAAGGGCACAGGGCATGTGACATTCTCACTAACCAATCTAGTCCAAGATACAAATCCTACAGCATTTACATAGAGCCTATAAGAATCATTACATTACCACACTGTGTTACATTTTAAACCCTAAAAACTCCTCTTTGGGCCCTTCTGCCAAGCTGGCAGGGTCTGCTCTGACCCTTGGGCCTGTCTGCAAGCAGAGGGTGTTGTTCCATCCAAAGGGGATCACCTTCAGCTGGCCACACCATTGTTTTCCATTTGTTCAGTAACTGAGGGCTCTCAAAGCTTGCTTTCATTTCAATCTCGCTTATACTTTCTATATTCTCAAAATCTTTTGCCAGACAATCATATTTATAAGGCTTTCCTGTTTCATCTTCCCCAACATCGGGAAAACCCTGGGAGAGAGCTGTCTCTCTGTTCAGAGGATATGTGGTTAGCACATCTGTTCAGAGGATATGTGATCACCACATCTGTTCAGAGGATATGTGATTACCACATCTAGCCTCTGTTCTAGGCGAGGTTTTGTAGCAGGGCCAGGTCCTGCAACGCCTCCGTGGTGTTCAGCAGCCTAAGATAGGAAATGCAAGCCATAGTGAATGGGCTAGAAGCCCCTCTCTTCCACCTCTGGAGCCCTGCTTATCTCTCTGTAACCCTACAGGTCACTTTCCTTTAACCCTTGCTATTGGACAATTTCTGATCCCCCTGTACCCACTATAGAGAGCTGCTTTTGCCCAGTTTGGCAGAAGAGCTGTCACTGGGAACCTTCACAGAAGAATCACTAAAGATGCTCCTGTGGAACCTCACACAGACTTCTGTCTCTCCCTGGGTCTGTCTAAGGCACCTAGCAAGCTGGAGGGCTGAAATCACAATGTGCAGTGGGGAGACACTCTCTGGTACTGAGGGCACCTAGGCTGGCCACCTTTGCAGCAGAAGGGACACCAGAGACATTGACAAAAGATAAAAGGGTGACTCTTAGCAGGGGTTAATCCAAGGTTTTATCCCAGGAGTACCAAAGGAGCCCCTACACCTCAGGGTAGAGCCCTTACATCTCTCACTGTGAGCCCTGGAGAGGTGCCAAGGTTACATTTAAAGGGAGGTGGAAACCTAAAGTAGATAACATTTACTGACCAAAAAGTGACCCTAAGGGGTGGATACTGGGGGATGGACATTTAGGACAGCTTGAAGGGTTGACCCCTGGCCTCTGGCTAATCACTCAATATTCTGGACCAAAAACTTCTAGATGGAGGGGATGGGATGCTGAGTGATTGACAGAGAGCCAGGGTGGGGATTTAGGGATGATCTCAGCAAAGGAAAAGGATTACACAGGTAAAGGGAGGGGGTACAATCTGGAATAAACCATTTGGGAAAAATATGGGGATACAATACCAAACTATTACAAAGTATTACAAAGTATAAAAACACACTACAACAACAATGAGCTGATAATCACTAAAGAGCTGATAATCACTAAAGAGCCCCCCTTCCAGCCCTGCCTGCTCCTTCCACCATCCCAAGCTGGAAAATCCCCCGGGATTGGGATGTTCTGTGTGGGCAGTGCTGCTTTTCAGTGCGGATTTGGTTTGATTCTGGTTTGATTCAGCACAGGGAGCCCTTCCAGGGCCTGTCCAGAGCTCCAGAGCCAGGCTGGAACAGGGAAAAAGCTCCAGAGCAGCAGCTGGGGGGCGAGATGGCTCTGACATTCAGGGAGTGAGGCTGGATGGTGGCAGGAGTGAAGCTGGATGGTGGCAGGAGTGAGGCTGGATGGTGGCAGGAACAAGGCTGGATGGTGGCAGGGACTGAGGCTGGATGGTGGCAGGGAGTGAGGCTGAATGGTGGCAGGGAGTGAGACTGGATGGTGGCAGGAACAAGGCTGGATGGTGGCAGGGAGTGAGGCTGGATGGAGGCAGGGAGTGAGGCTGGATGGAGGCAGGGAGTGAGGCTGGATGGTGGCAGGGAGTGAGGCTGGATGGTGGCAGGGAGTGAGGCTGGATGGAGGCAGGGAGTGAGGCTGGATGGAGGCAGGGAGTGAGGCTGGATGGTGGCAGGGAGTGAGGCTGGATGGTGGCAGACAGGCTGGATGTGGCAGGGAGTGAGGCTGGATGGAGGCAGGGAGTGAGGCTGGATGGTGGCAGGGAGTGAGGAAGGTTGTCTGTGACTGAGAACTGCTCGGACAGCCTGTCCCAAACAGGACTGAGCTATCTGTGACCCCTGCAGCCTGCTGGGGACACCCCCAAACCCACAAAAAGGCCACAAGAAGGCTCCACAAGGCCTCACCTTTGGCCAGGCTCTTGCTGAGCTCGCGGTCCTGGATGAAGCCGGCGAACATCTGTGTCTCCATGAAGCAGTGCAGGAAGTGGCGCACGGTGCGCGAGCCGTGGCTCTTGCGGAAGGGCTCGCGCTGGAACACGCGCTGGCCCTGCTCCGTCACGCTCATGTGCAGCGAGTAGTGCCCCACGATCTCCACGAAGAACTGCACAAAAGCCTCCGAGACCAGGGAGTTCAGGCTCGTGGCACCTGTGGGGAGGACATTTGGCACTTTGGTCATTCCCCTCTGTCCCAGATTGCAAGGCAAGATGTCAGGATGGATTCTGTTTGCCATCTGTACAGCACTTGTCTTTTGTCAAGTGGGCAGCTTTCCTTATCTCTTCCACAATCACTCCTCCCTCCACGGGGACATCTGCTGATAACAGCTATTGAATGTCCCTGCATGGCTGATAAGAACTACAGCATCCCATTGGGAGATGTGAGCCCAGAGGGAGGAGCCAAGCATTCCTACCCGGATATAATCTGGAGATTCTGGAACACCAGCACGGCTTCTCCACTGGATTGCCCAGAGGAACAGCAGCTGCCTCTTCTTCCACTGGATCTTCAGAGGCAGAGACTGCACCTTTCTCCAGGATCCCTGCTCCAGCAGAACCAGCCCTGACACTGCAGGAGGGCTGAGCCACAATTCCAATGGGACTGCTGCCAACAGCCTGACCCACAGGGTGTCAGGTTGGGTTCTGACTCTGGCAGTGTTGGTTTAGTTTACTGCATTGTTTATTTTGTCCTTTTATTTTCTTCCCTACTAAAGAACTGTTATTCCTGCTCCCATATTTTTGCCTGAGAGCTCCTTAATTTAAAATTTATAGCAATTTGGGGGGGACGGGGGATTACATTCTCCATTTCAAGGGAAGCTCCTGCCTTCCTTAGCAGGCACCTGTCTTTCCAAACCAAGACATTCTCTATCAGCTTCCCTGGCTCTGGACTGAAGGCACTTGAGAGAGTAGTTCATGTCTGGACTCAGGTGTTTATTATTTCTTATCAGTAAAACAGTCTCACTACTGTGAGTTCTGCAGCTTTTCATTAGCAAAGCACAAAATGGCCAACAATCTCTTGTTACCAGGTCTTTTAAGGCTGAATTATCCAATTAAGAAATAACACCTAAATTATTTTCCCTTTTAACCCAATAAGTGATCCCAAAGAACCTGCAGTGTGGACTTTTCTGTCCAATCACAAAATACCACCCAAACCCATGGAGAAGAAGGAAGAAGGAGGTAAAGAAGAACAACCTGTCTCTGCCCTCAAACCTCCATCTTGCTTCATATTTGTTACTATATTCTAAAACCCCGAATTCTAAATTTTCCACCCTGTGACATTACACACTTCTAACCATCTCCACACCCATAATCCCAGTGCTAATTATCAATTTTGGAAACCTTCTCCAGAGCCTCAGGTCCAGGGTTCAACTGGATACAATAAAATTCAAAGCACAAAGGAACTGCTGCTGCTGGCCTAAAGGAAACTACAGTTCTGCACACACTAATTGTAAAAAGAGGAACTGTCAGCACACCAAACTTCTCACACATTCACAAGATGCTCTCAGCAAGACCACAGAGAAACAGCTAAAATGTCACTTCTTAGCATTTAGTTCAATTTGCTCATTTTTATCAACTCCCTGGTAGAGATCTGCTAATGGGAAAACATTTTTCCACAGAAATTTTTCCACAGAAAGTACCTTGTGTGTCATTCTGCTCGTGTGACAGGATTTCACTCCGTTCTTCCAGGATTTGTACAAGTGCAGCCTGCAGTTTGTGGGGCAGGATCTCATCCTCATCTGATACCTACAGACAGAAACATCCAAGGCAGGACCTTTGTGTTATTCTCATCAGCAGGAGAACCAAGGGGCAGATTAGAAATATTTAAAACATGCCTAAAGCAGTTAGAGAGGAGTTATTCTGTGATATATTTTATGGGAGACAATATATTTATCTTGCAGCCACAGAAATTAAACACATTTGCTCAGCATGCCCCAAGTATATTTTATTAGAGTCACACACACAAGTGGCCACCACACAGACTCAGGCTTATTTCACCAGTAAAAAACACAAAACCAATAAAAGTTTGCTGAGAAAAAACAACAGGTCTCAATAATATGGTTTTAAAAAATCCCCCATCCCTTTAATACCTTTCTCCAGTTGCAGGCTGCAATGCAAAACAGAACAGTGAGGCAAGGAAAAGGAGAAGCAAATATCCTGAGCTAGTAGTGAAATCCCCAGCACTTTTATAGCAACTTGTGTCAGGATGCAGAAGCACTTTTGGGGAAGTTCAGCAGAGAAGCCCAAGTGAACTGTGATCATTTGTTCCCTAGACTGTCACTCCTGGGGAAAACAAGAACCCAAACCAACAAACACCCCCCAGCTGGATGAGAGAGGAGGAAGTGCTGTACAGAAGAGGGAGAGACAGACAAAAAGCAGCAGAGAATCTTAGGGATCCCCTTCACATAAAAAACCAAGTAAGAGTTTTTAAACTCAGCTCAGCTAAGCAGCACTTTGGCTTTGCAGAGCTCTCCACCTCAAACTTGCAACAAGGATTTGTGAGCCTGTTCCCTTCTCTGTCAGTTCAAAAGGATTACAAGGTATTTCTTCAGCCACTGGAGTCTCCATATGAACACCAGCTTCTCTTGATTTCTTTTTTTTTTTTTTTTTCATCAATACCTTTTGCTGGCATAAACCCACAAGTTACTGGTACTGTTATTTCACTCACCTCTTGCAAGAACTTGTCAGCACAAAGATCAACAATCAGAACCTGGGGAGACAGAAAACACACTGACTCATAACCAGGTATGTTGCTGTATGGAAAAAAAAAAACAGGTTTTAATTTGTTTTTTTAGATGTGGGATGTTTTTTAAATAGGGCTGTCACACACAAAACCCAAGTTTTGCATGGGTGCAGCCTGTCTCTGAGAACAGGGAGTATTATTTATTTTTGACAGTGCTGGAACATCCTGACATTTATCAAATTCACCAAGCGGCTCAGAGAACTTTGAGAGTTTATACTCAGAGAGAATCCAGAGATTATCCCAGAGAGGTCAGCCTGGAATAATCACAGTCTGTGTCTCACAGATCCTCACCTCCTCTATGGGCAGGTCCCAGAGCTGTGGCAGGGAGCAGGAGAGGATGCCAATGAGGAACGGGGTCGGAGAGCACACGATGTCGATCATGGAAGCTGGCAGGACAGGGATGTAGGTGTGCTGCCAGGTGAAGGGGTACAGGGTTGCCACTGCAGCGTGCCCACATTTAGACAGAGTGCTGGAGAGGTGGGAGAAGCACAAGGAGGGTGGTCAGTGTCTCCTTCAGGGCAGGTGTCACTCGTGTACAGCCTGTGTATCAGCAGAGGCCCCATGCACCCACTTCTGAACTCAGTTATGGGGAGCTAAAACCACCATCAAGCCAAGCTAAAGAGGCAAAAAGGAAACATTCCCTTATTTCCTCTTGTGTAAACAGCATAATCCAAATTCTAGGCATGCACATGCTGTGTGGGGAATGCAGAAAGTTTTCAAATGGAACTGCAAAACCAGACAAGCTTGGACATGGGACAGGTCCAAACACAGAAGGAACAATAACATCCATTGACAGCATCCCTCAGCAAGAGCTATTCAAACTCATCTTTACCTTAAATTGTCAGCCACAAAGATGACCCTCCTTTCCAGCAGGAGGGAGGCAAACACCCGGATGGTGTGGGACACACTCAGACACTGCAAGAGGCACTCGAAGTCCACGTGCTCCAGCCTGGAGTCCAAGGGGCGGCACAGCTCCATCACCTGGAGCACACAGACACAAGGAGAGCTGGGGAGCAGCCCAGAGAGGGACCCCAGCCTGAGGCAGGGCTCAGCAGCTCCTCCTGAGGGGCAGGACCAGGGACAGGACCCAGGGAAGGGCTGGGGCTGTGCCAGAAGAGTTTAGGTTGGAGATCAGGGAAAGGTTCTTCCTCCAGAGGGTGCTGGGCACTGCCCAGGCTCCCCAGGGAATGGGCACAGCCCTGAGGCTGCCAGAGCTCCAGGAGAGTTTGGGCAAAGCTCTCAGGGATGGGATTGTTGAGCTGCCAGGAGTTGGACTCAATGATCCTTGTTGGTCCCTTCCAGCTCGCATTTTCTCTGAATCCATGATTTTAAAGAGAATCCCATGACCCAGACAGCTGGGGCAGCACAGAAGGGTGCCCCAGAAGCTCTTCATTAAGAAGCAGGGAATCACTTCCATGGCAGATGATTCCACAGCAAACATCTCTGGGACACCCTCCCTTTCAACTCCAGGATTGTTTTCTTCACACCAGGGACAGGACCCAGGGAAGGGCTGAAGCTGTATCAGGAGAGTTTAGGTTGGGTATCAGGGAAAGGTTCTTCCCCCAGAGGGTGCTGGGCACTGCCCAGGCTCCCCAAGGAATGGGCACGGCCCTGAGGCTGCCAGGAGAGTTTGGACAGCACTCTCAGGAATGCACAGGGTGGGATTTTGGGGTGCCAGGAGTTGGACTCCATGGGCAAGGGGCAGCACAGAAGAGTGCAGCACAGAAGGGTGCCCCAGAAGCTCTTCATTAGGCAGCAGGGAATCACTTCCATGGCAGATGACTCCACAGCAAACATCTCTGGCACAGCCTCCCTTCCAACCCCAGGATGTTTTCTTCACACTGATTATTTCCAAGCACCACTGTGCAGTTTGCCAAGAGCCTCTGTGCCCCAGAGACCCCAGAGAGAGCAGGCAGCTCAGCCTGCCCTGTGTTACCTCATCTCCTGCTCCTGGCAGGAAGCTCCTGACGGTGATGGTGCGGCCCGGGGCGGGGAACGGCGCCTCCATCACGCTGTGCATGAAGGGGTGCACCAGGGCTGGGGACATCTCCCTCCTCTTCTCCACCTCATCCAGGATCTGCAGGGACACACACAGAGCCTCGGGTCACTGCTGCTGCTGGTGGCATTCACATTCTCTGAAAAAGATCCCTGCACCCAGGGTTTTTCTGCTGGGAAGCTGAGAAACCTCAGAGAAAATAAAAACAATTCTTATCTCATTTGCTTCTCCTGTGTTTTGCTCATGTGAAATGTGTTTGGAGATTGTTTCATTGGTTTCATGTGAATTGTTTTGACTTTCTGGCCAATCAGGGCCAAGCTGTGTCAAGACTCTGGAAAGAGTTTTCATTATTATCTTTTAGCCTTCTGTAAGTATCCTTTCTGTATTCTTTAGTTTAGTTTAGTTTAGTATAGTTTAGTTTAATTTAGTTTAGTATACTATAGTATACTATACTATAGTATACTATACTATAGTATACTATACTATAGTATACTATACTATACTATAATATACTATAATTTGCTATGATATACTATGATATGATATAATATAATATAATATAATATAATATAATATAATATAATATAATATAATATAATATAATATAATATAACATAACAATAAATTAGCCTTCTGAGAACATGGAGTCAGATTCATCATTCCTTCCTGCCATAGGGATCCCTGCAAATCCAATACCAACCTAAATTTCCCTTGGTGCAGCTTGAGGCTGTGTCCTCTGGTTCTGTCAGTGCTGCCCCTCCTCACATGGCCTGGACACAGAGCCAGGGGCAGCAGGGCCATTCCAGAGCTTTATCACTCTTTCAGTAAAAAATTTTTTCCTAATATCCAACCTGTAGCATTCACATTCTCTGTAAAAATCCTTTTGCCCAGGATTCTTCTCCTGGGAAGCTGAGAAGCCTCAGAGAAAATAAAAACAATTCTTATCTCATTTGCTTCTCCTGTGTTTTGCTTGTCTGGAATGTGTTTGGAGATTGTTTCATTGGATTCTGGTGTGAGTTGTTCTGACTCTTTGGCCAATCAAGACAGAAAATCTCCAGAAAATCAGGAGATTTCGTTACTACAAGAAAGTGGACCAGGATTACATGAGGTGCAGTGCAAAGGACCAAAATATGAAAAAATTAACCTCACAGATATTGCAAAAGCATTGGAAAAATTAAGGAGGAACACACAACTTTGAGAGGAAGAGAGAGGGACATGGCATGGATACTTTAAAAAGAAATCTTTGCCAAAGTGAAAGCCATCAAAAGGCATGGGATGCCATCAAGTGCAGGGACATGGACCAAAGCTTGCCCAGTTGATCCCCACTGAAATCCAAGATTTTGTTTCCCTTCCCAAAAGGAAATAACATTTCCAAGCTGTGTTGAGACTCTGGAGAGACAGAGTCAGGAGTTTTCATTATTATATTTTTAGCATTCACTAATATCCTTTCTGTATTGTTTAGTATAGTATAGTATAATATTCTTTAATATAATATAGTATTATAAAATAATAAATTAGCATTCTGAGAACATGGAGTCAGATTCATCATTCCTGGGCATTCCCAGCAAATACAACAGCTGCTGAGCAGAGGGGAAAATCCACCAGAGCATTCCCATGGAAAAGGTTCCAGCACAGACCCACTGCCCTCTCCCACCTCACTTGGGACCCCTGTGAAATTCATCTCAAACATCTGAACAGTCAAACAGGAACAGCTTCCTGTGAGCACAACTCTCCAGTCTCCTGCTACTGGAAGGAAATGTCTTGTGTGTAGTAATCAAATTCTCATTATTTAGAGGGGTTAGGAGGAGCAACATCCATCCCTCTCAGAAACCTCCCTGAAATGCTGCTCTAGAAACTCTGTGCTTCAACAATCAGAACCATCTTTCATCAAAGCTTGTCCCTGGAATCTGCTGCAATAACTGCCCTTTATCTGCCGTCCTCACCTCCTTATCTCCCCTCCTCATGGTGCTACAAAAAAACAGGGGAGATCCAACCCCATCCCTAACTGATTTTCATTTCCAGGTCACAGAAGAAGAGGATGAAGGGGCACCCTCAGTAACACCAGGTGTTAGAAGGCCCTTCCTGCAGTAATTGCTGAAGGATTTGTGCATTGGCTGACGAGCTCAGCATCAGGATTTTATTTCCCTGCTCAAAGCAAAGACAGAGAGGAAGCACCACTCTCCTGGGATCAGCTGCAATCACTAAGCCTGGCAGAAGCACCCAGTCACTCTGGGGAGCCTGCAGGCTGTCAGGGCTCAGGAACAGGCTGTGCCAGCTCACCTTGGAGAAGAGGTTGAAGCAGCCCAAGCGGCTCACGATGCAGTACACCTCGGGCAGGCGCTTCCCTTTCCCTTCTGGCTGAAAGGCAACAGCAACAGCTCTGCTGAGAACAGGGGGGCAAGGAACAGCCCAGCACCCACACTGCAGCTGATCTGCAGATCTCCTTCTGCTGCAGCCCCCCCCTACACTTATGACTATGAAGGTTCTCAAGGAACACTCAGTTCCAGGAGCTGCTTCATGCCCAGAGCCCATTTTGCTATTTCTGGGCACCATCGTGACTCTTCCCTCTGCATCCCAAGGGCTGGCACCACCACAGCAGCACAGGATGGGCAACCCACGTGGGAAAGCAGCCCTGAGTCATGTCCTGACAGTGCTCCCTGTACCCCCAGCCCTCCCAGAGATGCTCACCAGGAGCTTCCTGCAGTACCCGAACCAGCGGCTGCCGTCCTCCCCCGTCAGCACGAAGGAAAAGGTTTCACTGGGGAACGAGGCAGAGTCAGGGTTAAATTCACCACACAGCTCAGGGGACACACTGACAAAGCACACACACTCCTTCTGGTCATGCTGACAAGGGCAAAAGCATGATTACAAGGACTTTGGGATCTGTTCGGGGTAAAAACCCCATGAGCTTTTCCAGCACTCCTCCTTCCCAGCTGCTCCTCACTGAGCTTTTCTAGCTCTCCTTTTCCCCAGCTGCTCCTGAGCTTTTCCATCTCTCCTCCTTCCCAGCTCCTCTCACTGAGCTTTTCTACCTTTCCTCCTTCCCAGCTGCTCCTCACCGAGCTTTTTTAGCTCTCCTTTTTCCCAGCTCCTCTCACCGAGCTTTTCCATCTCTCCTCCTTCCGAGCTCCTCTCACTGAGCTTTTCCAGCTCTCCTCTTCCCCAGCTGCTCCTCACTGAATTTTCTAGCTCTCTTCCTTCCCAGCTCCTCTCACTGAGCTTTTCTACCTTTCCTCCTTCCCAGCTGCTTCCCCATTCAGCCAAGGAGCAGCACAAGCACTTCCAGCCCCAGCAGCTGGCCTTGGACAGATTTTTCCTCCTTACAGGAAAGGCAGCAGCCTCTCTCTAGCCCAGCTCCACACCTCATCCTCCCTCCTACCACAAGGATTTCCTGGATCCTTTCCCCTTTTCCCCTGCTCTGGCTGCAGCTCCTCTGGTACAGCCCAAATCTTTCAGCATTACCTGTCTCAGTCACAAGTATTCAAAACCAAGTCTTTACCTTTTAAGGTCTGATGAAGGGAACCAGTCTTTGGGATCTGGAAAGCAGAATTTGGGAATGACCTTTAGCCTCTCTTCAGTGTCCTTTGATGGTCTGAAGGGATGTTCAGGCTGGAGGGGTAACAGATGCATTTGAAGTCACTCAAGTTGGTGCACAGCTGCAGCATTTAAAATACAGAAAGCACCTTCCTGACGCTTCCAAAGGCTGATCCAACCCATAACTAATGCATAGGTACAGGAGAACATGTTCTGACTATTAGCAGATTCCCAGTTCCCTCTTGCATTTTTCCTGCTGATTGGATCTTTGTAAAATGGCCCAGCTTGGTAAGGATGGAGTAAGGATCTACAAGCAGGGCTAAGTTAATTGGAAAAATAATGTAGAAATGAGCCCCCAAATGATGTCTGGGTCAGCCTGCCTTGGTTCTACCCCTGGGAGATTTGAAAACACTCAAATAGGAACAGGAATGTGTTCAGCTTTTGATGTGCAGATCACTCATAACTGAAGTGCAAAAACTGTCCCTGAATCACATGTTCCAGCCACACCACATATGGGTTCAAATCAAATCCCTCAAGGACTCCAGGACACTTTCCATGATCAAAACTGGCCAGAAAGGGCAAAAAAGGGTGTTCAGATAAGAGGCTCCATAAGAAATGTAAGGAAATTTTACACATTTAAGTAGGAAATGCCCCTGGGAAGTGGAAGGTTTATTGCATGAAGTTGATTTTAGACACTCAGCACATCCAGGCTATTGCAGTGTCCCAGCTGTGACAGCACAAAGTGTTAGGAAAACAGAACAGCATTTTGACAGAGTAACAGTTGTACCAAAGCTTAGATGTCCTTGGGCACACAGCCCAAAGCAGAGGGTGACAGCAGATTACTTGGAAGCAAAGCTAATATTAGAAGGGAGACACCCAATCTGACCCACTGTCCCATCTAAGCCACTCACCAAAACACTTTCCCTTGAGCAGAAGATAAATAAATCTGAGAAAATAATTTTTTGTGTCAGTGCCTTTATAAAAGCCAGTAGAGAGCAGGAGGGGAACCCAGACAATGCACAGGCTGAGAGGCTGCACCAGGGAAAACCCAAATCTGCTGCACTCCCTTCTTCCTCCCAACACCCCAAAGTTTGCACTTTTAGCAGATATTATTTAGGTGTGTTCAGTTTTACCCAATAAAACAACACTGTGCACTCTTTCTGGCTGCAGTTCCTCATTCATCTTGTGAACCCAAGGCATTCACACAATTAAGACACTGGAGTTATTTGCACACAAATCCTTTAGGCAGCAGGAACTGGGACACTGTGGGACCTGCTGGGGTCCCACACAACCTCCCTGAGTGGACCTGACATCTCCTCTGTGTGGGTGCCATGCAGATTCCTCAGTCACTCCTGGCTTTCTGAAGGCACAGCCAGAATTGCTGGCTCTGCTCTGTTCTCAGTGGAAGGCAGCAGCTATGAGCCCAGACACTGAGAACTGAATATTCATCTCAATCTGGTACCACAGAAACACCAAGGCTCCATCTCAGCTTCCCAACTTAGTTCACTGAGCTATAATTCAGTCACACACTGGTTTTGTGCTGAACATCTTATTTCAAAGGGCTTGGTTTAGCTTCAACTCCCACAGCTCTCCTGCTTTTGGGGGTTTCTACAAACAACTTTTCCCTTTTTTTTATTATTCTTTTCAAAACAGTACAAATAAGCATAAAAGCCCTGGGATTCCAGTTCCTGTGCAGCATCAGTGCCTCACTCCTTGTTTGTAAAGGACAGACTGCCAGGATGAGGACAGAGCTCTGCACTCCTTCCTCTCCTTTAGCTGGTATCAAACACCCCATCATGGCTTCATGAAATTTGAATTAAGTAGGAAAAAAGTAACTCAAAAATGAAAAACTCATTATGAAGACACATATTCAACAACCTCCTGACACCACACATCAGGTGTGTAACAGAGCAAACCCAGATCCTGACCAGTGCAGCTCAGGAGGGGAAACAGAGCTGAGCAGGTTCCCACAGAGCTCCTACCTTGCTGGGGAACTGCTGGATGATGTGTGGTGTGTAGGTGACCTCAGATGCCTTCTTGTGCAGGGACACCACCACGAAGAGCTCGAAGAGCCTCTGCTCCTGGAGCTCGATGAGATCCCTCTCCAAGGTCTGGTAGTGAGGGTTCCTCTTGGAGGGCGAGCGCCTCAGGCACCTGGGGCGACCTGGGGAGAGCAAAAAACCCCAAAGCAGCTCGTGGCTGGCACTGCCACACACCTACAGGGCACAGGAGAGGACTCAGCAGTGCCATCAGATGGGGAAAAGGGATGGGTGGATTTGCCCAATATCCAAATGCTCCCTGTGGGGAATGAAACCTGTGTCAGCTCCTTGTGCACAGAGCTGATCTTCCCCCAGGCAGGAAGGAAATAACCTCAGATTCTACTGGAGGAGGTTTAGATTGGATATTAGGGACAATTTCCTCACTGGGATGGTTGCTATCATTGGAGCAAGTTGCCCAAGGCAGTGGTGGAGTCACCATCCCTGGAGGTGTTTAAAAAAATGTGTGGATGTGGTGTCAGATGTGTTTTCTGAAAAATCCTTTCCTTGAGATTTTTTCTCCTAAGAAGCTGAGAGCTCAAAAACCAAATTTAAAGAATGATTATCTGCTGCTGTAAAATGCAACAATAAATCTGTGATTGGTCTCATGCAGTTATTTCTAATTAATGGCCAATCACAGTCAGCTGGCTCAGACTCTCTGTCCAAGCCACAAACCTTTGTTATCATTTCTTCTTTTTCTATTCTTAGCTAGCCTTCTGATAAAATCCTTTCTTCTATTCTTTTAGTATAGTTTTAATATAATATATATCATAAAATAATAAATCAGCCTTCTGAAACATGGAGTCAGATCCTCATCTCTTCTCACCCTCAGACCCCTGTGAACAGTCACAATGTGGCACTTGAGGATGTGGTTTAGTGGTGAGCATGGTGCTGCTGCTGGGTTGATGACTGCACTTGATGACCTTAGAGGTCTTTCCCAACCTTAACACTTCCAGGATTCTCTGATTCAGACAGGAAGCACTGGCCTGCAAATCCAGAATCCTGCAAATCTGCAGCTCTGCAAATCCCCTCTGACAGATCCTGAAATTTCTCCTGCTGCCCCGATGTTCTTACACATCTCAGAGTGGCACAAAGGGGTACCAGGGAGTGAAGGGCAGCTGCTCCATCCAGGTCAGGAGCTGCCAGGAGCTCAGGGAGCCACTCCAAACACCAGGGGCCCTCAGGAGAGGCAGAGGCACCCCCAGGCTGGGCTGTCCTGACAGGCAGCACGGGCTCACAAGCACAGGCACAGCCTCTGACGTCAGGAATTCCTGTGACACATTCTAGACACTCTCAAACAACTCTTCCATCAGGCAGTGACTCAATCTTTCTGAAGAAATCTCAATATTTCTGCTGAGATCCTTCATTCTCCTCTACTCTCCTTAACATAAAGAAATGGAATTTCACTTTTCATTCTAAGTTAAAGCCTTTTGTATGTTTCCCTCCAAGTAAATGAAATACCTAAAATAAAATCATAGAATAGAACCATAGAATTCTATCAATGAATTCTAGCTAGAATTCTATGAATCCTTGAATGGTTTGGGTTGAAGGGACCTCAAAGCTCATCCAGTGCCATCCCCTGCCATGGCAGGGACACCTTCCACTGTCCCAGCCTGGCCATGGACACTTCCAGGGATCCAGGGGCATCCACAGCTGCTCTGGGCACCCCGTGCCAGATCTTTCTGTTAATCTGTCTTCACATGGAAGCTAAAAGCACCTAAAACCAAATAGGAGTTTCAGGTCTGGAGTTTGGGTCTATGATCCAGCTCAGGACAAATACCCAGGTGAACTCACCCCAGAGGAAAGGACATTTCACAGCATGACATAAAACAGAACCAAGGGAAGGAATCAGGAGGGAAATAACCTCAAGCAGCAGCAGCAAAGGTGATCAGGAACAACCCAAAAATGACTCTGCTTCTGCTGACTGCCAGATTAATGGCATTAAACCTCAAGGGCTCAGGGAAAGGGCAGAAACAGAGGTTGGTTTGCCACAGCAGCAGCTGCCAGACTTGGCCATGTGGCCTCTGAGAGGCTCCCTGGCCCTGTCTCAGCAGATTCCACACATCAGCTCATCCCAGCAGGGCCTCAGCCAAGGGTGCAGTGCTGTGGGACAGGACCAGCCCTGTGATTCACTCACTTTTGGGCTGATTTTCCGTATCGCTTTCGTTGCCGCTGGTTTCACCTGAAACACACACGGTTTTCACTTATTAACCATGCAGAAGGAAGATGGGCAACACCCAAAGTTGGGAAAGAGACACAACCTGAGACTCATCACATCAACATCCCTCAGGGCTGCCCACCAATCCTGCCCAAAGCATCAGCCAAGGGCAGCTGGAAAATGTGTGACAACAGCACATTGCAAAAAGCAGAGCTGATATCAAGGCAGTGGTGCCAGTGAGTGACCTGCAGGTCAGCTGAACATGGGCAGAGAACACAAACCAGGTTGGCTGAGGCTGCTATGAAACTTAACAGAGCTGCTGAACAGAATAACTATAAATAAAACCCCTATAACTATAAATAAAGATCCTCCTATAAATATAAATATAAATATAAATATAAATATAAATATAAATATAAATATAAATATAAATATAAATGTAAATGTAAATGTAAATGTAAATATAAAATAAAACCCCACAATCAGAACAAGGCACACAGATAATGAATGCAGGAGTCACTGGTAGCTCTCATGATAGGTGGTTTTCTGAGGAATTTCTGCTTTAATCTGCTTTTTTGAAAAAGCATTTTTAACCCAGGCTCAGAATCCTCCCCTTGTGGCACAGTTAAATTTGCACATTGCAAAAAGCAGAGCTGATATCAAGGCAGTGGTGCCAGTGAGTGACCTGCAGGTCAGCTGAACATGGGCAGAGAACACAAACCAGGTTGGCTGAGGCTGCTATGAAACTTAACAGAGCTGCTGAACAGAATAACTATAAAATAAAACCCCTATAACTATAAATTAAGACCCTACACAGTCAGAACAAGGCACACAGATAATGAGTGCAGGAGTCACTGGTAGCTCTCATAACAAGTGGTTTTCTGAGGAATTTTTGCTTTAATCTGCTTTTTTGAAAAAGCATTTTTAACCCAGGCTCAGAATCCTCCCCTTGTGGCAGTGTAAATTTGGGTTAGGCAGGTGTTTCTTGAGCTGAAAGCTCAATTCCAGCCACAAGTGTGGGGTTTGCACTGCTGAGTCAGCATGAGGTGCTGGTGCCAGGCCAGGGCAGAGGAATTGTGCCCCTCAGGGAGCTCAGAGCACAGACAGTGGTGCTGCAGACCCCAGTACCTTTCACTGGAGCTGCTTCTCTCCCAGCAGGACTGAGCAGTTTCACTTTCTTCTTTCCACGTTTGGAATCAAAGATCTCCTGTATTTTCAGTACCAGCTGAAACCCAAAGCAGAAGCAGAGGTTAATGTGGGGGTCCAGAGAAGGCTCCAGGTTCCCAAGAGCCACCAGCAGGACCTGGGGGAACTGCCCAAACCCTGCAGGAACCCTGGCTCAGAGGTTCCTTCTAGCCCAGCTCACTGCATAAAGACTGAGCACAGATTTCTGCTGCAGCAGAGAGATCCCTGTCAGCACAGCTCAAAGCTGACACCAGACTGCACAGGCACTCTGGGAAATGTCACACTTGCCTTCCCAAATAGAAGTGACAAACTGTCAGGCATCAGATCTCCATTTTCTATGCATTTGCAAGAACACCTCAAACCCTGCAGCACAGAGGACTCAGAAAATGCTCCCCAACTCAATCCAAGCCCAGAAAAAGCAGAGCTCTCTCACTCTAGCTTGGGGGTTGGGTTTTGGGTTTGCTGCTGTGGTTGATGTCAGCTCAAGTCTCCTGAAGCACAAGGGAGCTTAGAGCACAGGCCCTGCCCCAGGAGTTTGCTGGAATGAGAGGATGATGGACTCAGAGCACCCTGCTCTGCTGGAAGGTGGCCATGGCCATGGCAGGAGCCATTTAAGGGCCTTTCCACCCAAACCATTCTGTGATTTTGCACAAATGAAGACAGACAGTGGGACAGAACAATGCTGCAGGACCACACAGCTGGCCCAGTGGAAGAAAAACAGCTGGGTAAAAGCCCAGCCCAGTGCAGACTAAGCACAGACATGAAAGAAGGGTCAGCACTTTGGTAATCCTCCTTCCACTGGCCACAACAGCCTTACAGCCAAAGTCCTGACACTTTCTGTGTCCCTGTCACAGCCTGCTTTCTGCTTTCCCCTCACCTGCCAGTGCCCCAGGGGCTCCTGACTCCCCACATCAAAGGCTCTTCATGGCAAGAGGGATTTACCCTCAATGCAGGGAGCAGGTCAAGTTCATTCCTGCCTCAAGAATTCATTAAACTGAACATAGGAGGGTGGGGCCCAGCCATTTGTCATCACAAATACAGCATAAAAAGAAATATATTAAAGAGAACCTGTTTGTTCAGCTCAAGTGTTTAATCCCCAGATCAGCAATCCAGGCTTAGGCTCTGCTTTTCCAATGGATTTCTCCCCATTTTCTGCCTCAGCACTGAGGGAACAAACAGAGCACTGCAGAGAGCAGTGCTCCTCCTGCCAAACCTGCCTTCTTTCCCTTTTTACCCAGCCTTGCCTAGGAAATCTTCATTTCTCTCCTGATTTTTGTGCAGCTGAGTCACCACCCTGGGTGTGTTTAGGGCAGCCATGTGTTTCTTAGGCAAAAGGTTTTGTCTTTTTAGACTCCAGTCCTTTTCTCAACCTTTGAAACAATCTTGGCTCAATTCCTCATGAGCAAAGAGAGTGAAGTGCTCTTCCTGCATGTAAATTGTTCCCAGATTTTTGGAATAGGTTTGCTTTTGGAGAACATTTTATTTTCCCCTCTCCAAATGAGATATACTCTCCATCACAGCATTTTTATAATCTCGCCATCTCCTTCCTGATTTTCCAGACCTAGAATTTGTTTAAAAACACAGACAGAAGCTACTTGATACTCCAAAGCACTTTAAAGGTTTGAAAAGTCCTTTGCAGCTGTCCAACTCTACCTCACAGCCTTGTGCAATCTGAGCAAACACACGTGATTTTCAGATGAAATAAAGATCTGCTGAAGTGAAATGATTTTACCACAGCAAAAATAAATCTTTCTCACTACCACAATCTGAGTCCCATGCACAAAGTGCCACCACAGCTGCCCTTCTACAGCACGTGGTGCCTTTTGTCACACAGGGATGTGAGCTGGTAACCAACAGAAGGATCTAGAAGCCTTCCCAAGGCAGCAAACTGAAAAGTTCTTTGTGTGAATGTGGATTAAAAGCCTTCCTCACCCCTCTGGCCTCAGCAGCATAATTGTCTTTGCAGCCAGGCAGGAGGGAGAGGCCAGAAGGGACAGCTGGATGAAGGCTTTGTGAAAAGCTCTTATCCCTGAGAGTTCCTCTGTACCCTTAAACTGTGAAACAGCTGCTCCTGGTGCCAGTCCAGAACTCCTGGCCAAAATTCCAAGGGCCCCACAGCTATCCCACAGCTCAGGAACTGCACTGAACACCAGGACCAGCCTAGGAAATCACTGGGAGCAGGGACATGTGCACACAGAGCTGCTCCTGGAGCTCTCCAAGAGCACAAACCCAGCACCAACACTCCATGGAAACACTGGGAACGAGGCTTAGGTGACAAAGCACGAGGAAGGGCTTGGGCACACACACAGCCCTGACCTCCAGGCCAACACTGAGCACTTTGTCTGCCCACAAAAACACCACTGTGATTCCTGACCAACAAAACCAGCACTGTCCCAGCCAGAACTGGCACTCAGACCCCCAGACACCAGCCCTGCCACTTGGAGAGGGAATGGCTGGAGCAGCAGTGCCAAGCAGCAATCACCTGCCTGGCCCACAGCCCTGTGGCCACTCACAAAGCAGCAAGAGCTCGAAATGCCAGGCAAGAAGTGAAGTTTTACATTTGAATCTCACCCAGGGCAGGTTCTTTCTCCTGCTGGCAGCCTCCACTGCTCGGAACAGCTTCCACTCAGACACAGTGACAGGCAGGGAGGTTTCCTTCCCCACCTTCCCGTGGAAATTTGTCTGGGAGGGTTTCAGCTCCAGTGACTTACGGCTGAGGAAGGGAGGTTTGGGGGGAGGCTGGAAAATAGAAGCAGAAGAGATAGTTAAGCATGAGATGCAGGTTTGATCCAAGGTCACAGGCAGAGGAGTCACACTACAGCTGGTAAATCTGCTCTACCAAGTCTCCATCCCACCTTCCCACTCAAGCATCTCACCAAATCTCTCTTGTTCCTACTCTGTTGCTCCTTAGCAGCTTCATCAGCTGCCATGGCTGTTCATTATTTACATCATGTATTATTTACATTAACAGCAAGCAATAAAATAATAAGGCAAACCAATGACTTGCAGAGTGGAATGTGAGGCTGAGCACAAATGAGGGCTCTTGCGGGAATGGTTCTGCAAACACCTGACCCTTTAATCCCCCCAGCCCACCTTGGGAGCCCTGCTGATGCTCCGGGGAGGGGGCAGCTTCCACACAGATGGGACCTTCCACAGGGGCAAGGGCAGTGCTCTGATATCTTCATAGGGATGTTCCTTTGTAGGACCTGGAAAAAAGCATTGGATGGGGGTTTATGAAAGGAGATAAAGCCCTGTAATTTCAGCCAGGGATATAAGTGGGGAGAGCGTGCCAATAACAGGGTCTGAGAGACCTGTTTGAAGTTGGATTCTTCTAACCCACTGCCATCACCTTGGCAAACATGGATTCAGCAGAACAAAACACTTCTTCCCCTGCACAGCAAGCAGCTCTATTGCAAAGCAGCTCATTTTGGCAGTGTTCACACTGATCTCTGTGCAACACTCAAGCAAAGCATTCCAGGGGCTAATAAAGAAATCACTTCAGCACAGGCCAACTCCAGTGACCTCCAATGACATCTGAAATCAGGCTGTTCACGTGCAGATGGCACCAACACCAACAAAGAACCCCAGATGGGGAAGAACTTAAAAACCCCAGAGCCGGAAAGGGCCGCGATGCACCCTCACCTTCATCCCTCCCTCCCCAGCACAACCTCCACCCTGTGGAAGTTGTTTAGGGCACCCCCAGAAGCCCAGGCACATACAGATAATGTCCTCGTAGATGTTGTCCTGAGACTGAGTGCAGAGCAGCCTGGATCCTGCGGAGCCATTGCTCTCCTCCCGGGGTCTGTGGCAGCCGCCGCCCGCCGGCCGCCTGCGGAAGCCCTGGATGTCCTCAAACTCAAAAGATTTCCTAGAGGAAAACCAGGGGGATTGCTTCTAAAGGAGCTGCTGTCTGCAGTCAAGCACAGTGTGGCTCTCCCTGGGACCATCCAGCACATGGATGCTCCACTCTGGGCTCGCATTTCCAAGGCAGCAGCTCAGCCCCTCACTCCCAGCCCGTGGGATGGGGCAGAGAATCAAAGGGTAAAGAGAGAAAATGGGTTGAGATAAAGACAGTCTGGAAGGTAAAGCAAGAGCTGCACAAGCAAGGAAAGCAAAACAAGGGATTCGTTCCCTATTTCCCTTGGTGTTTGGCCATGTCCAGGGGTTCCATCATGCATAACAGTGACTTGGGAATACAAATTCCAAATTTTCCCCCTTTCTGCTTCTTCCCCAGTTTTTACAGCTGAGCAGAACATCACAGGGTCTGGAACATCCTTGGGGTCAGCTGCCCCTGCTGTGTCCCCTCCCAGCTCTGTGTGAGCACTGCTGTGTTACCAATATTCTCATCACAACCCCCAAACACAGCAGCCCACAAGATGCCAAGAAGAAAATTATCCCAGTCAAAGCCAGCACAGCGAATCCTGCTCACTTACTCTGGGAGATTCATTAAGTAAGAAAAGGAGCTGGAGGCTCCATGGCCAAGCACACTCCAAGCAGGCATGGCCAGCCCCATCCTGACAGAGCAAAGAACCCAAACCATGTCTGAATTCTTGCAGCAGCTCAGAACCAGGGCACTGCTTCCTACTGGCCTCTCCTACTGGTGCTCAAGGTGTTCATGCATTTGTGGTCGGCATTTCCATCCACTTGGCCACTATTTTGAAATTAGGGCACTGAGGTCACAGAAGAGCTGGCAGGGATTTAGCCCATCATGATCATCAAATCTGGGTTGCTGCTGCACACTTTGCCACAGTGGAAGGTTTCAGAACCTCAAGCCACATCTCTGCACACCAGTCCAGCACAGGCAGCTTGCCTGTGAGCAGGATTTGCATCAAGCCACCTCAGAAGGGTACGGGAAAGAGGGAAAACCAGCCAAACCTACTGCAGGAGCAGCACCCACAGCCTCCAGCCTTAAGCAATAAGAGAAACTTTCACTCCCAGAAAAGCCAAACACTCAGCAGCCAAGGGAAAGCTACTCTGCCATCCCCAAATTGCAGCTGAGGGCAAGCAGCAGGCAGGGAGCGGGCAGGTCTCTCCCTGGGGTCACTCCACTCTGTTCTAAGGTGTGGGCTGACCTCTGTTTGGAACCTGGAGCCCTCTTTGCAAGATTGTCAGCAGCAAAAGCAGGATGCTCTCACCCAGGAACATCCCTCCCCCATGAAAAGAGGCATCACCACTAGTAGCACTCCACAAGGACATCATGCCAAGCAAGCTGCTTAAACCCACCTAGAAAGTAATTTAAATAAATGTTTCAGCCATGAGAGATGAATTATGTACCTCTGGGCTCTCCCTCTGATCCTCCTGCTGGCTATTTTCTTCTCAGGGTTGTTGGAGGATGACACCAAGTCCTTTCCACAGTGTTTTTGCAGGGGACCTTCCCTGGTGGCACTGGCAGCTCTGCGACCCCCAGCACCCTTCTCTGCCAGGTAGCGGAAAGTCCTGCGGGGTTTGGGAGGTGGATCAGGAGCTGCCTCCTCCCCCTCCTGCCCCTCAACCTCAGAGTAAATGTTCCTCAAGCTCCTCTCTGCCCTGCAGAGAGCGTCCACTCCTTGGATTTGCAGTTCTCTTTCCGCGGAGCCAGCGCTGCCTCGCTTCCTCTGGAGGTCCAAGGCCACAGGAGAGGTTCTGCCAGGCAGGGGGGGATCTGCTCTCCTCCACAGAGCTTGTGAGGTATAGAAGTTCCCTGGGGGCAGTGCCACCCCTGGGGTCAGGCAGCCTGTTTGCCCCTCTCCTTTCTCCTTGGCTGGGCAAGCTGGGCCACCACAGCCCTTGGTCTGCCAGCATCTCCGAGCATCTTCCCTAAAATCCAACCCCAGGCTCTTGGGATCTTTACCCCCAGCCCTTGTGCCATTCTCAGTGCATTCTGCCCTCACTTTGGGCAGTGCACTATTGCAGCTGGGGTCATATTTCACCCCAAAGTCCTTGAGCTGCTGCCTGTCCTTGCTGGGGCAGCCCCTTGTCCTGCCCTCCCACTGCGAGATCTTCTGCCGGATGTTGCGGCAGTGGCTGCGGGACAGGGTCTGGCCCTGCAGGGCCCCGCGGGTGAAGCTGCTGTCCCCGGCGCCCACGGGGTGCATGGCAGTGCCAGGGGGGTCACACACAGCCCATGCCCAGCCCTGGCCACGGCCTGCCCTGTGCTGCGCGCATCAAAGCTGGCACCGCGCTGCCGAGGGCCCGGCGGGGTCACAGAGTGCGGGCTGGCTGCTCCGACCTGCGGGCGAAAACAAGAGACATCAGCTGCAGGGTGTGGTGAGCACAAAATCTGGGGAATAACGGTGAAAATTTGGGGAAAAACTGTGAAAATTTGGGGAGAAAACGGTGAAAAAATGGTGAAAATTGGGGGGAAATGGAGAAAAATGGTGAAAAATGGTGAAAATCGGGGGAATGGAGAAAACGGTGAAAATTGGTGAAAAAATGGAGAAAAACGGTGAAAATTTGGGAAAAAAACAGTGAAAATTTGAGAAAAAAACAGTGAAAAATGGTGTAAATCAGGGGAAAATGGAGAAAATGGTGAAAATTGGGGAAAAATGGAGAAAAACTGTGAAAAATTGTGAAATTGGGGGAAAATGGAGAAAATGGTGAAAAACGGTGAAAATTGGGGGAAAATGGTCGAAAATTGGGGAAAAAAGGAAAAAACTGTGAAAAATGGTGAAATTGGGGGAAATTGAGAAAATGGTGAAAATTGGGGAAAATTGGGGGGAAATGGAGAAAATCATCTAAAATTGGGGAAAATGGAGAAAAACTGTGAAAATGGTGAAAATTGGGGGGAAATTGAGAAAAATGGTGAAAAATTGTGAAAATTGGGGGAAATAGAGAAAAATGGTGGAAAATGGTGAAAATTGCGGGAAAATTGAGAGAATCGGTGAAGAAATGGTCTAAAAATTGAGAAAATGGGGTTAGAAGTGGAGAAAATGGACCTCAAACCCAGCTCCTCCACCGTCACTGTGGAGATGTCACTTCCTGGGGAGAAAAATCACAAAAAATGGTAAAAATTTGTGAAAATTGGGTTAAAAACTGGGAAAAATGAGGAAAATTGGATTAGAAATTACTCAAAATTGATCCCAAACCCAACCTGAACCCAGCTCCTCCACCTTCACTGTGGAGATGTCACAGAAAAATCACAAAAATGGGGAAAATGGTGAAAACATCCTCTGAACAGAGAGACAGAGCTGGCCCAGGATTTTCCTAGGAAGCTGTGAGAAAGCTCAGAGAAAGAATTAAAACAATTCTTATCTCAATCCCTGCACCTGGCAGGCAATCTCTGTTTTAAAGAAGTTTACAAGAAGGAGTTGTCGCTTCTTGACCAGTAGGTGAGACAAAATTCCTAAAGGCCAGTCAGGTCTTAGAGCCACCATTGTTTCTGTAAGAACTGTGGATTTCTAATAATAAATATATAATAATAAAATGCTTTTTTAAGCTTTCTGATGATGGAGTCTCTGTATCACCTTTGTCCCCTTTGGTGACAGCACCCCAGCCATGCTCCCCACCCCAATGTCCCATCTGCTCCTGGCAATTGCTGCAGAACATTCCTCCCCAAATCTCATCCACCACGTGCTCAGGACAGGCTTCCAGAGCTCCCTCCCCACAGGGGCTGTTTGTGCACACATGGAAAGGGAGCTGAGGCTCCAAAAACAAACACAGCAGGCACAGAACACCCTGAGGGATCCCAGGCATGCAAACTGAAGGAAATTATTTAATGGCAGAGGAACACAGCAGTGTGGATCTCAGCCAGCCCTTCTGCAGGAGTGAGATAAATCCCTGTGGCACCTGAGCTCCCCACTCAGCAGAGACACACAGGACACGAGGAAAAAGGAAAAAGGAGCCACATCTGCCTCTCCAGAGAGGAGCTGCTGCTTCACACAGGATGAGAAGAGCTGTGGTGGCTGGGGAAAAGTGCATCCTCCTCCCAGGAGTGCTCTCTTGCTCCACAGCACAAGTGAACACATGCCTGGTGCTCTGTTTGCCAACACCCGACCTAAATTTGCCATCCAAGAGACTGGAGGGCAGTGGTGCCCAGCCTGTGGAGTTTCAAAAGGCAGAAAAAAATGGGTGAGTTTTCATCTTCAAGTGAAAAATCACCCCATGTTTGGATCAGCAGAGAAGGAATGCTAAAGGAACACTCTGGCTTCTCCTTGCCAAGCAGAACCTGCACAAACAGGAGCTGTGCTCTTTGGGACTTGCTACATGTGTAATCCAGAATCCAGCACTCATCCTCCAGAAAATCCAGCAAGGAATGCAGGGGAAACCACCAGGGAGAGCTGGGGTGGCTGCACAGAGCCAGCACCTGCAGGCCAGCATGGTTTCAATACAGACATCTCATGTGTGGAATCCACAGCTGTAGCCATGATATTTTCTGAAAAATTCTTTCCTTAAGATTTTTCCTCCTGAGAAGCTGAGAAGCCTCAGGAACAAAATGTAAACAATGGTTATGTGCTGCTGTGGAATGCAATGGGTGGATCTTTGATTAGCCCATGTGGTTGTTTTTAATTAATGGCCAATCACAGTCAGCTGGCTCAGACTCTGTCAGAGCCACAAGCCTTTGTTATGATTCCTTCTTTTTCTATTCTTAGCTAGCCTGCTGATGAAATCCTTCCTTCTATTCTTTTAGTATAGTTTTAATATAATATATATAATAAAATAATAAATCAGACTTCTGAAACATGGAGTCAGATCCTCGTCTCTTCCCTCATCCTCGGACCCCTGTGAACACGGTCACACCATCCAACCTGTTAGAGCCCATAGGCTCTACCAAGCCCTGTTCCTCCCTTTCTCTGGGCAATTATCCCATTTCAGAAGTTCCAACCCTCCAGCTGTATTTAACAACCTCCCTTTGCTAAGGAGACAAGCGCTCAGGGGCCCCTCTGGCTCTGGTAACATCCCCTGGCACCAACAAGTCTCCCTGCAAAAGGCAGGGAAACAGCAGAATTCCACACATGCACAAAAGCAGAGGATCCCTGCAGAATCTGCAGGTGGGCCCACAGTGACACCAAACCTCTGCTCCAGCTGCCACTGCCACCCTGGGCACGTGTCCTGCACAGCCAGTGCCACCACACCCGGCCAGCACTGAGTCACCACAGGCTGGCAGAGCGGGCAGAGCCAGGGATGGGCACCAAACCACGCTGGGAGGCACAGGAGCCCAAACCTGCCTGGCAAGGGGTCATGCCCCACTCTCCAGGCTGGGTGTGGAGAGCCCCCAGCACAGCAGACCCACACCCTGCCCACTGCTGGGACCACTCCTCCAATTCCAGGGCTCAGGGCTACCCCTGGGGCTGCTGATCTGCTTGGCAGAGGCATCTGCAGTGCAATTAAAAGCAAAGAACTGGCCTTGGCAGATCTCCTTGATAGCACTAGTGAGAAAACTCAAAGGTCAAGGACATGCCAGGGCTCCCAGACAGTTCAGGGATGGTTTGGGCACACATGGCACCAAGCCTTGGCTCTGCTGCACTCTGCCAAAGCAGCACAGTTGCTGTGGGAAGCAGCTCCCTGTGGGTTCCTGCAGGCTGGAATTGCTCAGCCCATTGTCCCACACAGCTCCTGGTAACTCAGCAGTGAATGGGATAAACCTGGACAATCTGGGGAAGCCCAAAGCTGGGGATATTTGCTCCATCATCAGCCCTCTGTCCCTCATCAGCATTCCAGCCTGTCCTCAGTGCTTCTGCAGCCACTGGAGACCCTCTCCCACAGCAGCAAGGGGCCCCTGCCCTCTCCTATAAATAGGCATTGTTGCCCAAACATCCTGAGGCAGAGCAGAGCCATCCTTCCTCCGTGTGTGTCTGCACAGCCCTGATTAGCAGACAGGAAAGCAGCTTTCCCTCTCTGTGCCACTCAGGACACTCTCAGGGCCCAGGCAAAGGGACAGCCAGGGGGGACAGGGCTCCAACAGCCTCCCCAGCAGCCCAGCTCCACACCAGGATCCTCCAGGGGCTGCCAAGCCTTCAAACCCAGCACTGCTGGATGCAGGGGTGGCACAGGGAGCAGAACCTGAAGGATCCCATGGTGTGGAGCAGGGTTTATCCCAGCACTGACCCAGCCCAGCACCTCTATGCCCACAACTGCTCTGATTCCAACAGCACTGGCTGATTCCTCCTGAATGCCCCAGCTGGGAGCTCCTGTGGGAGCAGCCTGGCAGAGAATCATGGAACACACTTGGAAGGGAACCACAAGGATCATCCTGTCCAACTCCTCCTGGCCCTGCACAGGACACTCCTGCAGCTCTGGGCACTCCCTGGGGAGCACGGGCAGTGCCCAGCACCCTCTGGGGGAAGAACCCTCCCCTGACACCCTCCACCATCCATGAGGACAAATGGCTGCTCAGAGGAGGCTCAGTAGCCCTGCACAGCTCTCCAGGTGGGTCCACCCTCGCTGTGCCCAAGGTGGGCAGCTCTGCTGGCTGCCAGCCCACCCCACATCCTTCCTGCCACAGCTCATGTTGGGAGGGCTGCAACAAAAACTGCCTGTGCTGCAGCTTCCTCAGACAGACAGACAGACAGACAGACAGACAGAGCCATTTCTGCTTCCTCACCTCAAGCCATGGCTGAAGTCAAGGCCTGATTCTCCCACCCTCTCCCACTGCCCAGTCCCTGCTCCCAGGGTAGGGCACAACCAGGAGCTGAGAAATGTGGAGGAGAAGCTCAGCCTTGGCCAGGACATGGAACTCCAGAATGGGTTGGGTTGGACTGGAAGGAACCTCAAAGCTCATCTCCTCCCACCCCTGCCATGGCAGGGACACCTTCCACTGTCCCAGGTTGCTCCAAGCCCCATCCTGTCACAGACATCTTTTATGGAAAATCCTTTCCTTAGGATTTGTCCTCTTGAGAAGCTGAGAAGCCTCAAGAACAAAATGTAAACAATGGTTATCTGCTGCTGTGGAATGCAACAGGCAAATCTTTGATTAGCCCATGTTAGCTGTTTCTAATTAATGGCCAATCACAGTCAGCTGGCTTGGACTCTGTCAGAGCCACAAACCTTTGTTATTCTTTCTTTTTCTATTCTCAGCTGGCCTTCTGATGAAATCCTTTCTTCTATTCTTTTCGTATAGTTTTAATATAATATATATCATAAAATAATAAATCAAGCCTTCTGAAACATGGAGTCAGATCCTCATCTCTTCCCTCATCCCAAAACCCCTGTGAACACAGTCCCACCATCCAGCCTGGCTTTGGACATGCAGGAATGAGATCCACAGAGAGCTGAGCACAAGCCTGAAGTTCTCCCTGCTCAGAGCTGCTCCCTTGGATTGTCTCTTCCAAAATCTCCATCCAAGGAAGGAGGAATGCAGCTCTTCCTGCCCAGGCTTGCTATCAAGAACCAGGCATTTGATCTGAGCTCATCACGTGAGCCCAGGCAAGGGCAGAGGCTGATCTTTGGTGAAGAAAGAGCACACACACACTGGGGTGGTGTGATCCAAGTTAAGTAACTCCTAAATGCAGCCCAGGACAGGCTAAAACACAGTTCAAGGACACAGAGCTGGCAGAGACCACCTGGGTCAGGCAGCCAGCACTTGTATCAAGCGCTGCACAAATCATTCCTGTCACAGAATAACCACACTTGTGACTGCTCCCATCCTGACCTCCCCTTCCAAATTCCTTCAGTGGCCCCAGTGTGCTCCCAGTATTTCCAGAGAAGCCAAATTCATCATCCTTACTGCTTAGAGGAGATCAGTGTAGTTAAGAATACTGAATTATTTCACTGGAAGCAGCAGTTTGGGAGAGAATTACATAATTTCTAGACAAAACACCACCCATTTCTGCCAAAAGCCTGCCTCTCTGATCCACACTGTTTGGAAGCTCCCAAAGCAGAAGAATAAGGCACGTTCCCAGCACATGACAGGTAGCCCTGACTCTTTTTCCAGCCCTGAAACCCAGCGAGCACACTACACATTTTCCATGCAAAGCCTCGAGACAATTCCATTTCCTGAAACCACATTCCCAAGGAGAGAAAGCTGCCAGCTCTGCTGTTCCACAATAAATCCCTGCCTAGTGCTGAGGTCAGTCCTCCCCTCCTGTGCTGCTGGAACCCCCAGCACCCCGAGCACCCTGCAGCAGAGGCACTGACACAGCACCTTACCTTGTCCTGGGAACACAAGCACTGCCTGGACCAGCTCGTGCAGCTCTGAGGCAATCTCAGTCCTTTTGTGAAAGCTGTGCAGTCCTAAACCACCCCAAGCCCTTGTCACCAAGCCTCCTGTGTGTTAGCAGCCGAATAAAAAGTAGTTTCTGGTCTCGTGGAGCCTAGGGAAGCTGTCAGCTCGTTCCTGGAGGGAAGGGACCCCTTCCAGAGCTCTCAGCTATTCCCATCCTGCTCCTCTCCAGAAGAACTCTGATGCTCCTCTGAACAGCTCTGCCATGCTGATGCCTCAAAGACATGGGCAGTAGCAAACAAGCAGATTTTATATCAAAACAAGTAACTCTCCAGGAATGCAGAGTGCTTAGTCATTTCCATCTCGATACAAAGCTACTCTAACCACGAGGTATTAACTCCTTCCCTGCTGCTGCAGCTCCTGCTGAAGAGCAGCTCTGCCTCATTAGGTCAACGGCCACAGCCCCTGGACACAGAAAATGTGCTGCTAATCCCAATTACACAGCAAAAGGAGGTTAAGTCTGACCCTCACGGGTCCTAAAGCTTTTCTACTGATTGTCCTTTTCTAAAGTGATGAAATTCAACTTCCTGAAAGCAAGTTTTTCCGCAAGATATAAAAATACCCAAACCAGACCACTTCCAGCATGCAAGCCCTGAAGGCTGCTACAGCAGGGTGCCCATGGCCAGAACCCACAATGTACTATTTTTAAAGTCGTGGGGTTTTGACCTGACTCACAGGATCTGAATGCCCAGGGTAGCAATACTGACAACAGCAGTTGACTCAGCCCCTACACCCTGGGCTGGCTGCCAGCCCCAGAAATGAGGCACAAGCTGGGCATGGAGTTAAAAATCAATCACAACTTATCCTGGAGCACTTCCTCGGTGCCACCATCAGAGGTGAGGTTCCAAGGAAAGTCACAAAGCCTGTGTGGCTTCACATGGGCCACCCCAGACAGGCTGTGTGGGGCCACAAGCAACCACTCATTCCTTTGGGAATGTCTCAGCAGCACCCAGGAGGTTCAAAGGGTGCAGACTAAGGCAGCACCAGAAAACCTCTCAGACACCATTCAGATAATGTGTTCCAGAGCTGCCCACTGAGTCATATCCATATTCAATTATTACAACTGGAAGACTGAGATTAAAATTTTGCCCAGCAGCAATGGACAGCAAGGTCACATCCAGGTCAGATCCTCCAGTCACCCGTGATCAAATACACATTTCCATTTCCAGTGGCTGGTTTTCCTACAGCTTCTCTTCTACTTTCCTTCCATCACTGATGCCAGTCCCAGCTGGGAGAAGGAATTGCTCCAGCAGTGCTGGGCTCTGTCACAGCCAGGTGCCCTCCCAGCCAGGCTGTGTCACTGGAACAGAGGGCTGTGCGTATGCAGGGAGCTGGGGAAGGCAAGGGGAGACCGATCCAGCGTGCCCAAGGAGCCCTGTATCCATCCATCGCTGGATGTTTGTGCTTTGTTGCACTGAGTAGCCCCACGCACCTCAGTGCAACAAAGCACAAACATCCAAAGAGCCCTAACCCAGCACAGCCCAGCAGTGTGTACAGCTCTGTACAGAATAACAGAATGGGGCGGTGGGAGAGACCCTCGGCAGGTGTGACCCTATGAAAATGTGACCCTCGGCAGGTGAGACCCTCGGCAGGTGTGACAGGTAGCCCTGACTCTTTCCAGCCCTGAAACCCAGCGAGCACACTACACATTTTCCATGCAAAGCCTCGAGACAATTCCATTTCCTGAAAACACGTTCCCAAGGAGAGAAAGCTGCCCGTTCTGCTGTCGGTGCCCTGCTCGATGGTTTTGGCCATCCCCGCGGGCAGACAGCCCCGGGCAGCCCGCGCTCCATCGCCCTCACGGGAGAAGCGCTCACCGACGGCCAGCGGGGCCCGCCCGCCTGTGCCCACCACCGGCCACCCCCACTCCGGCACCCTCCCCTCAGGCATCTGCACGAGCGGGGCAGACGAACCCACCCCAAGCCCGGCTCCCCTGTGAGCTGCGTCTCCTGCGGGCAGCTGGAGCAGCACCTGCTTCCTCCGGCCCGGCAGACACGGGCAAGATGCTGCACCGCCCGCTGCCCGCCTGTCCGCAGCCGGGACGCGGGGACTCCAAGCCGGGCCCGCAGCCCCGAGCCGGGCCGCGACTGTGGGAAGCCACAAATCCCCGGGGGACCCGCTTGCCCTCCCGGCGTAGCCCCCGCCCGGTCCCGCCGGCCCCCGCCCCGTCTCACCGCGGCCTCGGCCCGCTCCCGGCCCCGCTCCTGCAGGACGCTCCCGGCGCGCACGGAACCACCTCCCATTGGCTGATGTAGCCATCACTCAAGTGGTGATCCCGCCTTCCCCCCGCCCCGGAGCGCCAGGAGCCGCTTGCCGTTGGTTGGTGCGGCCGTCACTCAGAAGGAGGTCCCGCCCCCGCCGCGCCCCGTCCCGTCTCTCCGCCGCCTCGGCCCGCTCCCGCAGGACGCTCCCGGCGCTCACGGAGCCGCCGCGCATTGGCTACTGTGGCCGTCACTCAGACCATGATCCCACCCTCGCCCCGCCTCAGGGCGCACAGATCCACCGCCCATTGGCTGGCGTGGCTGTCACTCAGGCGATAGGCCCGCCCTCTTTCCCTCAGGCGCTCGGATCCGCTGCACAGACGGGGTTTTACTGCGCTGCTGCCCCGGCGCCGCGCAGTCCGGCACGGCCCTGTCCCGACCCTGGCTCCCCTCACAGTCCGGCATTGCCCCGGTCCCGGCCCCCCTCACAGTCCAGCACGGCCCCGGCCCCGCGGTCCGACCCCCGCCTATTCGTTCTTCAGCCCTTCGGCGATGAGGTTGAGCTCGTAGCACCAGGTCTCGTAGCGATAGGCAACGCGGATCTGAGCCACGTTCGTCTTCCGAATGTCATTGCCATCGGGCCCGTCTTCCTGGTACTTTTCACCCAGGAACTTCACTTTCTCCTGCCAGGGGCAAAGACAGCGGTACCGACCTGAGAAGCCCTGCTGGCAGCGCCCGAGGGAAGCCCTGAGCCCACGAATAGAGCTGGTGCCATTCTTAGGCTGTGGGCAGGACCAGCCCAGAAGGACACACACCTTGTGGGACAGGATACACTGCAGGACACCCCTGCGTGGGACAGGACACCCACGATGTGGGAGAGGACACACCTCATGGGACAGGACACCCCTCATGGGGCAGGACACATTGCAGGACACATCCTTCGTGGGGCCGGACACCCACTTTGTGGGACAGGACACACTGCAGGACACACTGCCCAGGGGACAGGACACACTGCAGGACACCACTGCATGGGGCAGGAGACACTCGTGGGATATGAGACACTGCAGAACCTGGCATCTTGTGGTACAGGACACATCCCTCATGGGACAGGACACATTGTAGGACACCAGTGCATGGGGCAGGACACACCTCGTGGGATATGAGACACTGCAGAACATTCAGCTTGTGGGACAGGACACACTGCAGGACACACTCTTCATGGGGCAGGACACCCACTTTGTGGGACAGGACACACTGCAGGACACATGCCTCATGGGACAGGACCTCCCTCAGGGGACAGGACACCCACCTCATGGGACAGGCCACACTGCAGGACACACTGCCCAGGGGACAGGACACACCCCTCAAGGGACAGGACACCCACCTCGTGGGACAGGCCACACTGCAGGACGCTGTTCCTGGCGATCTCACACATGTCACAGGTGCTGAGCTTGAACACCTGGGCAGCGATGGCGTACTCCTCCATGAGGGGCTCCTGCAGCACAGGGTTAGGGGTCAGCAGCCTCTGCCAGCACAGCCTGAGCTCTGCAGGGGCTGTCCCACACCTCACTGAATCACTGGGCCTGGAAAAGTTCTCCAGGATCAAGTCCAACCTTCAGCCAACACCCCCATGCCTGCTAAACCATACCACAAAGAGCCACATGTTCTCATTTTTTGAAAACTTCCAGGCACCACTGCCCTGGGCAGCCTGTTCAGATGCTTGACCACTGTTTCAGTGAAGAAATTTTTTCCAGCATGTGCTGGACCCTCTGCAAGTGCCACTGGCTTCCAAACAAACCAAGGCCCACACAGTGCCAGCCCCAGTGCCCAGCTCACACTGTACCTTGGTGTAGTGGAACTGCATGGGGTCATCTGTAGAAAGGGACACCATGAGCCCTTTCTGGTGGAAGTCAAGCAAGGGATTCTTGGCGTACTCCAGGAAGAGGCTGTTGTTGCTGAGTGGGGACATGGCAATTGGAATTCTGGCAAGGAAGTACAGGTACTGCAGCACTGGGCTCTGCAGAGAGGAGCAGAGGTGCCATGTTAGGGACAAAGTTCTGCACCTTCCACCTCTCCAGGGTCAGATCAGGCTGGTCCCAGCCAGGGAATTGTGTGCAAGGAGAGAGATGGGCCAGGCAGCAATCAGTGCTTCAGGGTAAGGAGCACAAGAGGCCAAGTATCACAGATGTGTTTTATGAAAATCCTTTCCTTAGGATTTTTTTCTCCTGAGAAACTGAGAGGCCTCAGAAATGAAATGTAAACAATGGTTATCTGCTGCTGTGGAATGCAACAGGTGCATCTGTGATTGGTCTCATGTGGTTGTTTCTAATTAATGGCCAATCACAGCACAGCTGGCTCGGACTCTCTGGTCAGTCACAAGATTTTATTATCATTCCATTTCTTTTCTATTCCTTGCTAGCCTTCTGATAAAATCTTTTCTTCTATTCTTTCAGTATAGTTTTAATATAATATATATCATAAAATAATAAATCAAGCCTTCTGAAACATGGAGTCAGATCCTCATTTCTTCCCTCCTCCTGTGACCCCTGCAAACACCACCACAGCCAAGGAGCTGTCTGATACCAAACTCAGCTGGCTCTACTGATAACAGTCATACTCTGTGATGGGTCTAAACCCCAAAATCTAATAGTCTGCTCAGCCACATCCCCACACATGCCTGGAGAAGCCCGGAGAACCATTTAACATTTGCCTGTAGCCAGGCTGTGTCAGTGTAAAGCAGTGGCACAGGTAACCTGAGGCAGCTGTGAGCCCTTCTCCCGCTCTGCCATGCTGGGCTGCTCCTGGCAGCCTGCCCCACGTACCTTCTTGAGGTTGAGCCCGTGGGAGATGTTATCAGCTGTCATGAAGGCGGCCAGCAGGTGCGTGAGGGCCCCGGCCTCGCCGCAGTGCGGGCGGAACAGGAACGTGTTCATGCCACGCTGCCTGGCACAGGGAAGGAGCACTCAGAGCAGCAAACAGCAGGGCTGGGTGCCTGGAACCTAATTCAGGCCCAGCAAACAGAGGGTTGGGTGCCTGGACCAACTTCAGGCCCAGCAAACAGAGGGGTGGGTGCCTGGACCCAGCTTCAGGCCCAGCAAACAGCAGGGCTGGGTGCCTGGAACCAAATTCAGGCCCAGCTCTGCCCCTGCCATGAGCCCCCAGGAATCCAGCTTGACTCTGAGGAGCACTCAGAGCAGCCAAACAGAGGGTTGGGTGGCTGCACCCAACTTCAGGCCCAGCAAACAGCAGGGCTGGGTGCCTGGACCCAACTTCAGGCCCAGCTCTGCCCCTGTTATGAGTCTCCAAGATTCCAGTTTGACTCTGAGGAGCACTCAGAGCAGCCAAACAGAGGGTTCGGTGGCTGGAACCAACTTCAGGCCCAGCAAACAGAGGGTTGGGTGGCTGGAACCAACTTCAGGCCCAGCTCTGCCCCTGCTATGAGTCCCCAAGAATCCAGCTTGACCTAGGAACACATTACTCCTTCTCTTCTCTCCTCTGTGTGTGCACTAGATGCATCTCTGCAACCCCTGAACTTTCTCCCCAGTCCATCACTCCTCCTACCCAGTGGGGTCTGGGTTGCTCTGGGATGTGATGCTCCAAATACAGAGCAAGGAGAGCCCCCCTTCTTCCACACCAACAATCAAAGAACTGAGGCAAGGCACGAGGCAGGTCCCAGGCCTCACCTGCGCAGGTTGTTGAGCACCAGGATGTTGGCATACATGTAGTAGATGTAGTAGGTGTAGGATGGGTTCTTCTGGGAAGTCCACTCCTCTGGCTTTGGGCTTTTAGTGCTGAACATGTGTCCACTGTGCTTGGATTCATCATCCACGCTGTCAAAGCCTGTGATCTGCTTGGCAAAAGGAACAAAAAAGGTGCATCTCACACTCCCCACCTCATCACTCCCAGGTGGGCTCAATCTGCCCCACCACAGCTCACCAGAGCCTGGCTCTGCCCCTGTGCCCCACAAGGGCAGGGTTGGGCAAGGCTGCAGAGCTCCCTCTGTATTTATAAGGATTATCACATCCCCCTAGCACAGTCCAGACCAGGAATAAAGCTCACACCTCTCCAGGAGATGGGTGCCCAGCAATTCCTAGCCCCACAGCAGCCAGCCCAAGCAGTCTGACCCCTCCTGCACTTCTGGCCACACTCCCCTTCCTCAGAATGGGGCAGAGCCCCCTGGCCCACTGATGCCATTTTCCTGTCAGGGCCAGCACCCCATTTCTGGTGCACAAACAGGGATGTGACTTCTCCCCACACCTGACAGCATCACCAGGTGACACTCACGTGGCGTAGAAAGACACTCAGCTCTTTGTGGGCTTGGGGATTGACTGTTGCCTCGAACACAGGAACAAAGATACATTCCAGCATTTTCCCAAAGTGGGGGAGGAAATTCTTAGACCTGAACACATCACTGTGGACAAAGACAGGGATTAATTGCTACCAGAGGGACAACACAGCCCTACTGTCCCCACAGCCCTTTCAGGGATGAGGGATCTATAGGGCTCAGTGCTTCTCAGCCCCACAGCACATACTAAATCCTGGGCACTTGGATCATCCACTTCATGTTGGGGGAATAGACCCTGTGGGTGTTGAACCAGCTGGCCAGCCTGGCCCACTCCTCAGGCGACCGCCCGTAGATGGAGAGCCGGGGCTCCGTGTGCTGGTACTTGGCATCCTCCAGGTCAGAGCCAACCTCCTGCAAAGCACAGCACGCCATGGCAAGGAAAGGCAGAGCAGCAGCACGGCTTCACCCCGTTCTCCTGCCCTCTCTCCATACCTTGATGATGGTAGCAAAGTACTCGCCGTGGATGGCGTTCTCTGTCTTCAGGTAGAGGTCCCTGAGCTCGCTGGCCCCCACGGGGTTGTACTTGTCATTGAACTTGTCAAAGCGCTGGAATGTCTGCCGGCCCTGCAGCAGGGAGCTCAGGCTCAAACACTGCCCTTACAGCCTGGCAGGGAGCAGGGACTGAGCCAAACCACCCCAAACAGCATCACCA